ATAAATCCAAAAATGAAGTTTATTCATCAAAAAACACAAACAAATTATTCATACCACTATCTTCTGTAGGCTACAAATTTTGTAGAATTGAAAAAACAAACATGTTCAAGCGATTGAAACAAAAAATTCAAAATCCAAGAACCTAGCTTGGATTTCCTTTATTTTAAATGTTCCCTAAGGCAGGGGCAAAGCTAGAAGGTAACACACAGGTTCAGTCGAATCCGATTGATTTCGTCCAGATATTATGTTTTGTATTAAAAAATTTACTAAATATGTATATTCGATGTCAACAACAACAAGAACAACAACAACGACCCAGTGAAATCCCATTAATGGGTCTGGGGAGGGTAATGTGTACGCAGACCTTACCCCTACCCGAGGGAGTAGAGAGGCTGTTTCCGAAAGACCCTCGGCTCAAGAAGACGAAAAGAGACAATATCATTATCACCAATAGAAACCATAGAAAAAATAACATCATGTAAATGAGAAAGTAAATGCAAAGTAAACGTGAAAGAGAGTACATAGACGCGACACTATGAAAAACAAAAGAGTAGTAAGACACAACATTGCCACTAGCTGACATCGGCAAAATTCCTATCATACTAGCCTCACAAAGGTTCGAAGTAAGGTAGACTCAACTACCTCCTAACCTATAATCCTAATACTCGACCTCCACACCTTCCTATCAAGAATCATGTCCTCGAAAATCTGAAGCCTCGCCATGTCCTGTCTGATCACCTCTCCCCAATACTTCTTAGGTCATCCTCTACCTCTTCTCGTGCCCTCCAAAGACAGCCGCTCACACCTCCTTACATGAACATCTGGGCTTCTCCTTTATACGTGTCCGAACCATCTGAGCCTCGCTTCCCGCATCTTATCATCAATGGGAGCCACGCCCACCTTCTCCTGAATATCTTCATTCCTGATCTTATCCATCTTAGTGTGTCCGTACATCTACCTCAACATCATCATTTTTGCTACTTTCATCTTCTGGATATGTGAGTTCTTAATAGGCCAACACTCAACTCCATACATCATGGCCGGTCTAACCACCGCTTTGTAAAATTTACCTTTGAGTATCGGTGGCACTCTCTTATCACACAAGACTCCAGATGCTAACCTCCACTTCATCCACCCTACTCCAATATGGTGTGTGACATCCTCGTCTATCTCCCCTCCTCTCTTAATAACCGACCCAAGATACTTAAAATTTCCACTACTTGGTATGACCTGTGATTCAAGCCTCACTTCCACGCCCACTTTCCTCGGCTCAGTGCTGAACTTACACTCCATGTATTCCGTCTTCGTCCTGTTCAGCTTGAAACCCTTAGACTCAAGGGCCTGTCGCCATACCTCCAACCTCTTGTTAATACTAGTTCGCGATTCATCAATCAGAACTATATCATCGGCGAATAACATACACCATGGCACCTCCCCTCGAATATGGTGTGTTAACACATCCATCACCAGGGCAAATAAGAACGGGCTGAGCGCAGAACCTTGGTGTAAACCCATAACAACTGGAAACTACTTAGAGTCGCCTCCTACAGTCCTAACCTGAGTCTTAGCCCCATCATGCATGTCCTTAATATCCCAAATGTAGGCAGCCGGCACGCCTTTTGCCTCTAAACATCTATAGAGAACTTCTCTAGGAACCTTGTGTACGCCTTCTCTAAGTCAATAAACATCATGTGCAGATCCTTCTTCCTCTCCCCGTATCATTCCACTAACCTCCTAATAAGGTGTATAGCTTCCGTAGTAGAACAACCCGGCATGAACCCGAACTGGTTGTCGGATATAGACACTGTCCTCCTCACTCTCGCTTCAATCACCCTCTCTCATACTTTCATAGTATGACTCAGTAATTTGATACACCTATAATTGTTATAACTCTGGCATTATTCTAGAATTTAGAACTCATAAAATTGAAATACTTGCTCTGATGCTTTAGGTTTCAAAGACTGAAAATTTGTAAGGAGGGGAAAGAACTAAAGGAAACAAAGGGAACCGTGTAGAAGCAGGAAAATGATCTGATTTATGCAAAGTGCAAATTCTGATTTATTTAATTTATAGGGAAAATAAAAACAGAAATTGCAAAACTGGAATCTAATCCTATATTCAATTACCTTGATACAAGATCTCAAATCGCGACCTGGAGATCGGGCTGTAATGACCCAGCCGGTCATTTTAACTTTTAGAACCATGTTTCCTAAAAAAAAACTTCTTGATTTATGACTTGCGGGGATGGTTGGTCGATCCCGGAATCAGGGTTTGACGGTTCCAATAGCTCCATATGGTAATTTTGGACTTAGGAGCGTGTTCGAAATTTTATTTGGAAGTTCATAGTTAAATTAGGCTTTAAATGGCTAAAAGATGAATTTAAGTTTGGAAGTTTGATTGGGGAGTTGACTTTTGATAACGGAGTCGGAATCCAGCTCCAAAATTTTTCATAACTTCGTTATGTCATTTATGACTTGCGTGCAAAATTTGAGGTCAATCAGACTTGATTTAGTAGATTCCGGCGTCGTTTGTAGAAATTGGAAGTTTCAAAGTTCATTAGGCTTGAATCGATGTGTGATTCATGTTTTAGTGTTGTTGGATGTGATTTGAGGACTCGACTAAGTTCGTATGATGTGTTAGGACTTGTTGGTATAATTGGTTGAGGTCCCGAGGGGCTCGGGTCAGTTTCGGATGCTTAACGGATCATTTTGAACTTGGCTTGATAGCTGAAGTTCTGGTTTCTGCAGGTTCTGGTTTCCTTCTACGTGATCGCGTGAGAAGGTATGCGATTGCGTAGGGTTAATTGGGCAGCTGAAATTTTGTGCTATGCGATCGCGTGGGTGAGTCCGCGACCGCGTAGGTTTTGCAAGTCGTGCTATACGAACGCGTGGCTAAGATTGCGTTCGCGAAGAGGAAACGAAGCAGAAGTTGGACCACGCGCTAAATGCTTCGCGATCGCGTGAGGAGACTCGCGATCGCGTAGGCTTGGGAAGATTGTGTTTCGCGATCGCGTGAGAAGGTATGCTATCGTGTAGGGTTATTTTCTAGGCAAAAAAATTTGTGCTACGCGATCGCGTGAGTTGGTCCGCGATCGCGTAGAAGGAATCACTCGGCAGAGAGTTTCAGTTCTATCATCCCATTTTTCCATTTTTAACGATTTGGAACTCGGATTTGGACGATTTTTGGGAGATTTTCAGAGAAAACAACAGGGTAAGTGTTCTTAACTCAATATTTGTTAAATTACCCGAATCCATCACTATTTTTATTATTTAATTGGTAAATTGAGTTGGAAAAAGTTTGAAAACCCTCTTGGATAGATTTGAGGATTTGAGGGCTGAATTGTTACGGAATTTAGTAATTTTGGTATGGGTAGACTTGTGGTTGAATGGGCGTTCATATTTCGTAACTTTCGCCGGATTCCGAGAAGCGGGCCCCATGGATGATTTTTGAGTTAATTTCGAATTTTATTGAAAAATATAGTATTTTCTTAAAGAATTGATTACTATAATTTTTAGTGATTGTAACGAATTATTTTGTCTAGATTCGAGCCGGACTGAGTTGGATAATCATGGAGAAGGCATTCTAGTGGATTAACTTGGAGCAAATTGAGGTAAGTCTCTTGTCTAACTTGTGAGGGGGAAATTACCCCATAGGTGATTAAAAATTAATAAATGTTGCTAATTGTGGGGGCTACGTACGCACGAGGTGACAAGAGTCTGTGCGTAGCTACTATAAATGCTAAAGNATATATATATTGTAAATTGTTAGATAAAAATATTAAAGGATAAAAATCTCATATGCTTGATTCTTTGTTTAAATTAATTAATTTTTAAGAGAAATTATTCTTCCTCCCTAATTTATCTTTTAATGAATATACTCTCCTTCCGGAGGTACATAAGAAAATGTCATCCTTTCTTGTGAAGCAGGCCGAACGCCTCGGAAGGATAGATGCATCTATGGATCGTTCCGCACATCCCTCAGCAGTGTACACGATGCTCTGGATCGGGACGTACGTCCTCGGCAGAAATCATTCTTAATAATAATAATTACACGATACTTTGATAGTTTATTGCAGTTTGTGAAGCTAATTGATAAATTGGAAATCTTTGAAATTTAAAAAATTATTATCCCTGCTTGTTAAGGAATTATTGATAATCCTGTAAATGAGACTAATTGACAAATTGGAAATTTATTGGAATTGAAGGAATTTAATTATTTCTGCTGGTTAAATAAATTATTGTTATATTCTGTGAATCATGCTGATTTAGATATTCTAGTTGTATTTTAATTATTATTATTGACTCATAGTGAGTGTCAAAATCGGCCATCTCGTCTCTACCACTTCGTGATTAGACTTGATACTTACTGGGTACACGTTGTTTACGTACTCATACTACACTTGCTGCACTTTTTGGTGCAGGACCCGAGGCAAGTACTAGTGGGGGGACCTATCGTCTTACACCCATGTTATCCAGAGGCATAGTGGTGAGCTACCTTTCTGAGCCGTTCTGCACCTACCAGTGTTTCTTCTTATATTTATATTCTGTCTATTTTATTTCAGACAATATTTGAAATTTTGTAAAATTTAATAGATATTCATACGCTTGTGACACCAGGTTTTGGCACACACATTGGTATTATTTTCTGGAATTTAAACTAATCGGAGTCTTTTATATTCTCGTTAATATTGCTAGTAAAAGATTAAAAAAAATTACTTAAAAACTTTTTCTGAAAATAATAGATATATGTTTAATTTATTTGTTGGCTTGCCTAGCTGTAGTGTCGGGCGCCATCACGACCTATACGTGAAATTGGGTCGTGACACGAGCTTTTCAATAAATGAACTTTATTCAATAAAAAAAAAAATAGATACACAAGAGACACTTTTTAAAATGTTTTGTCCAATTTTTCACTTAGACAACCAAAACTTTCTATTTTTTGGGCCCTTTCATAGAGGCAAATTCATTCATTCTAATATTTAATAAAAATGTGTCGAATCCTGATGGAAACTGTATCTAAATGTTTTTCCTTTTCTCCATTGACGTACAATTGATACGGGTTACACAATGATAAGAGTACAAATATAAGCTCTAAAATAAAAAAACAGCTCGGTGCACGAAGCATCCCACATTCATGCAAGGTCGGGGAAGGGCCGCACCCCAATGGTGTGTGATGTAACAGCTTAACCTAATGCAAACATCAATGACTGATTCCACGGCTCGAACCCATGACCTATAGGTCACACAACATTACCATTACACTACGGACACCTTCAAATCAGACAGGCAGCCGCTCCAACTCCTTTTTAGGATGTTCGGGTACTTCGGAAGCACAATATATCATGTATCTATAGAAGCATAAACCAACGCAGAAGGTCAAAGCCAAAGCTCTAACTAACAATTCTCCGTCCACCATGTAAACAAGAACTTGCATTACTAATTCCAGCAATAAGTCTTTTTCCACAATATCATATGATACGTGCATGAAGTGACCAAACACATAGAAATATGTGGTGCAACCTAGTAATAGAGCGAGATACCCATAATTGAACTCCAAAAGGTGATGCAGGACTGCTGCAGTCATCACAGGAATGACCTCGATCATAAATTTTGCCTTGGCACCAATTATCTGGAAAGGCATGTCGCGATGCCAATAAACAACAGAATACTGCGCAGTAAAATGAATTATAAAGCCACCCATCATGAAAAGGAACGTGAAAATTCCCGGAACAAGTTCTAAATTCAGGAGGGCAGCGACTATACACAAGAAGGAAAAGTAACTATAAATAAGCCACCATATGTCTTCAAGCCTTACAAGACCCCCTGGAATAAACACAAGAAGAACATATTCAGCATCTCAAAGAAAGTTACGAAAACACAAAATCAAGCACACCAAGACCATGAACAAGCACAATTGGAGAGGGCAACTTCCAATAAAAATCACCACTTTCAAAGTCTAAAAAGAAGTAACTTCTCGTCTCCAAACTATATCAGCAAAGAAGTTGTGGCATTGTTCTGGCATCCAAGCTAGAAAAACACTATAATTACATCCGCTCCTACGAATATTCATAAATTTATGGCAATATCAATGGCAAGATTATGACACACTGACTACATTGTCCAACTTATTACATTGTGTATACATTCCTTAAGTACAGCTTCCTTCTGCCATATGAAATTTGTCCAATAGTTCACTAGTCTAAAAGTGTTTGTACACCCCAATTTAGTTGATTCCAGTATCAAGCATCATATACAAATGGATTCCATCTCAAAAAGCACCAGAAAATTACTGTTATGTACTAAATTTCAAAGATCCTACGAGATATCCTAGGAACATTCACCATACGTCCACTACCCTGTTAGGGATAGACCTGATATTTATTAAGTACACGTGAATTATCGTACTCATATTATCTGCACATTTTTGTGCAGACTCTATTCCTGGGACCCAGGAGATAGAGTTGGGCTGATACTTGGATACTTCGCTGAGCTGCCTTGCTTGGATTCGCAGCTCTAGCCCCCTCATTAAGACTACCAAGTTAACTATATGTTCGTATGTGATAAATTGCTAGGATTAAACCACATAATTTCAAGTCAAGAAACACAATCTTTAGGTGAAAAGACTTACCATCTGATTGACCACCAAATGCCTCTGGAAGCCTAATCTTCTTGTAAATTGAAACCACGACCTTCAAGCTCTGCGTGCCCTTCTGATAGGAAACCGTCGCATTGCCACAGGGAGAGGCACATAGAGGGATAGCATCACCCATCTGGCTGCAGATAGATTTCATGTATTGATTTATATTTTGCCGTCTTACAAGAAAGGGATAAAATTAAGGAGAAGGATATGTTCAAGAAGCTGTTTTTTCACTAACAACTGCAAAAAGAGAATTACAACAACAACATCCAGTGTATTCCGGAAGTGAGATCTGGGGAGGATAGGATGTACGCAGCCTTACTCCTACCTGGAAGGGCAGATAGGCTATTTCCGGAAGACCCTCGACTAAAGAGAAGATGTAAGAAGCACTGATAACAAGAAATAACAATACAGGATATTTAGAAAACTAAATCCAAAATAACAAAGGAGAACTAAAAAAGAATAAATGCAGATGGCAATTTGGCAAAAGAAGTTGAATATAAGGGGCTAGCAACATCACCAATATACAACTACTTCATAAGTAGGCCACAGATATCAAATGATCATAAAATATTCACACAATAAGACAGATTTATCAACTTCATAACACTACCTTAAACACTAGTAAAGACTTAAAAGTTAAAACCCATATAATAAATTTGCAGAAACGTTACTGATTAGATCAACTAAAAAACTTCAAAGGGTCATCAGAAAACATAACCAATCATACCACTTTCGAATATTTATTTTTGTAGCAGAAATTAAACCATGTTAAACAAATTGCAAAAACCAGGAACCAAAGGTTGGATTTTTTGTTTTAAAATTTTATATGCTCGTTTAGGGTTTAAAGACTGAAAATTTGCTTCGAATAAACAATGGAGGAGGGGGATGAACAACTGTGTAGAAGTATTAGAGAAAAACTGCAAAAGGTCTGAAACCTCAAAAATTATACAAATTGCAAAACTCTGACTAATTTATTTATTAAAAAAAGAAATAATAGATTAAATTCAACTACCTTGACGAAAAAGATCCAAACTGTGCTGCGACCTTCAGCAGGAGAAGAGAAAGCACGCGTTTTGGACTATAATTATTGGCAATCAAGACAAAAAGGATCAAGTATTCTGGGACCTTTCAGAAAATGGCAAATACGCTAACAGGAGCGCATGGAACATGGTAAGAAAGTCTAGTCCAAAAGTGCAATTCATCAATAAGGTATGAAATTCTAATATCCCTTTAAAAATGTCTTTCTTGGTTTGGAGACTTTGGAATGGTAAACTCCCATTTGATGATGTGATTACTAAGTTTGGCAAATAAATTATTTCTAGATGTAACTGTTGCCTAAACCCAACTATTAATAGCATGAATCATGTAAAACTTTTTGGAAATTCTCTTGGTATCTTGTATCACCCCCATCCCATTAGATACATGCTTAACACCTGGTGGGCCTCTAAGGCAACCAATGATGTTCGTAGACTAGTTTTAAATATTACTCCTATTATCATTTGCTGGTTTCTTTAGAGAGAATTTTGTGCCTTCAGATATGGAGATAAAAAAAACTTCAACATTTACAAATTGCACCATCAAATCTCTTGGAGTATCGAGACTGCAGTCAATAACGCCTATCCCAACTCCAAACTCAAAATGCCATGGAATAGCTTATGTGAACTACTGGCAAGACTACAACCTATACATAAATGCGTGGTGGTTCAATGGAAAAAATCAGACAGGGACAGGATCAAGATCAACACTGATGGGAGCTATTTCCAAAGGGAAGGAAAAGCAGGGTTAGGAGGAGCTATCAGAGATGAGCAGGGAGATATAATCATGGCCTTTTCTATACCATTCAATGCTGAAAATCAGAACATTGCAGAGGCTCAGGCAGCATGGCTTGGTACCAACCGGTGCGTGCAAAAGGGATTCACTCGAGCCACCCTCGAGTTGGACTCTCTTTATATTGTAGATATCCTTCGTAAAGAGAGCACAACTAACTACAAGCTCGGCCAAAACACTAACAAGATTAGAGACACTATTAAAACCTCCGATATCCAGATTATACACTGCTATAGAGAGGCAAATCAACTTGCGGATTGCTTGGCTAAAATGCAGTAAAGAACCAACAGGCTGCTTACTTCTACTCCAACCATTAACTGCCTAGCCAAGCTAAGGGTCCCCTTTTGCTGGACAAGGAACATGTGCCATGTATAAGGAACATATATGATAAGGCCAATTTTTTTGTTAGCTAGGTTTGGTTTTTGTAATTAGAGGGGGCGATCTATTTATAATCGCCTATGCCTCATCTTTTGAAGGGTGTGCTCTACCCTCGTGTTGTATCAATAAACTATCTTTTTTGCTAATACAAACTACCTGCGAAAGAAAGGAACGAGAAATAGAAAAATAAAAAATTGCTTGGCGTTTTGGACTAATCCCTAAACGAATTAGGAGTAATACGTAATTCCAAAGAGTTCTTACACCTTTAGGGGTCGTTTGGTACCGGGTATAAGAATAATGCTGAATAGAGTGTATTAGTAATGCTGGTATTAGTAATGCTGACATTAGTTATGCTAAAATTATTTTGTATTCACTGTTTGATTTGGTGTATTAAAGCATTGCATAATTTTTAAAATATTGGATGTTTACAAAAGTACCCTTAACAATGTTTAACTTTAGCTATAAAAATTAACTTTATAGATAACAGAACAAGAAAGGAAAGGCTGAGGCTCTTTTGATGCTCCATTTTCAAAGTATCTTGCTCAATGAAGTGAATCTAGGTAAAGTTGTGACGTTAATTCAAAACTAGACGTGGATACATTTTGTGCATAATAATCACTTGTTTGGAACGATAACATGGCCAGTTACATGAAATTCCCACTATTTACACATAACAAGGGATCATGTAATATAACATGGTCGGTCACATGGAACTCCCATGTGACTTTGATCTCTGAAGAGGAAGATGATTTGGTTGCATTCACCCGTGCTTTTCCATGGCCAAAGCGTACAGAGAGAAATCCGTTTGTTAATAATATGGGAAAAATATTTGATATGGGCTTTTATTAGGGATTTGAGGGGGGCAAGTAGGTCTTTAACCATATTTATGCAAGTATTAAAAACTCTTGCATTACTAATGTCATGATTTTCTATGCACTGCTTATACATAGCATAATAGCAAGTATAATGTATAACTAATACAAGTATTAGTTATACATAGGTTGAAAAAATATATCAAACGAGGTACTAGTAATGCACAGAGCTAATGCTTACATTATTTTTTCTTACACCTCCTACTAAACGACCCCTTACTATTTATAGTACGTAATATGTTGGCAATTGGCATGAGTCACTTATGGTAATAGCCATAATTAAGCGGTAACTTTTTTATTTAATTAGTAGTCATTCCTTTTCATTGCCGGGGTAAGAATAGCCATAATTAACGTGTAATTTTTATTTTGTAGTCATTCCTTTCATTGCTCGGGCAGGAATATTATGTATGGTTTGCTTAATTCGAAGCGTATGTTATGTCTATAAATTAACCTATGTTGAGAAAGGAAAAGAAATATTAAGACAAACACACATTTCTCGTCAAGTCTCAATTTGTTATTGCATTTTTAGCAAGATGAATCTTGAACAGAAGACGTGGCATGCTCTCTTTTTGGAAGGTTAAATTGGAAGGGTTTCATTTCTTATGTTTTTCTTTATGTTTGTTAGTTTTCATGGCCGGGACAAAGTTAATACAATGTGGCTAGCTAGAGCTTACATAAAACTATTCACAACTTTGCTTCAATTTTTGGAATAAAAGAGCTAGAAGCACCCAAAAACAGTTGCATATATTTCAAGAGATAAAAATCACAAAATCAACAATTAAGAGGTTTCACACCATAACAACAACAACAATAACGATCCAGTGAAATTTCACTAGAGTGGAGTCTTGGGAGGGTAATGTGTACGCAGATCTTACTGCTACCCTGAAGTTTGTTTCTGAAAGACCTTAGGCTCAAGAAGACGAAAAGAGTCAATATATCAGTACCCTCAATAGAAACCATATAAAAAATAATAGCATCACCAGAACCAGAAAATAGATTAAAAGCAAAACAATAACCAGTAGATAAAGCCCGACACTAAGAGGAACGAAAGAGAGATGTGAACTCAACATAAACCACTAATAGTCTAATACTAAGTCCTAACAGACTAGCCTCACTCTGGTGCACCGTAGAAATATGTACAACTACCTCCTAACCTACAACTTTAATGTTCACATTCACAACTTCCCGTCTTAGGCCATGTCCACCATAAGAAGCCAAAAGAAATTCCACGAACTCCGTGTTACTTTTGGGATACAAATTATATCATTTTTTATTAGTAAGAAAACTGTACGTCACTCCACGAAAGGACATGATCAGAAAGTGTATGAATAATAATTCGAGCCCGAGCGAGTAGCATGCATATTCTTTAGTGTAATTTCTTGAATTCTATTACAATCTATAAAAATGAACGAATCAAACTACAATTTCCATCTTTTAATAGCAAGAAAAGAGTAAATTTCTCCATATATATACTCGGAGTTTGATATTTGAAACCTTGTAATCCGTGAAAATGGGTCCAGGCAAGGAATAGAAAAGCTACTCCAGTCGAAAAATTAATATCATTAGCCTAAATGTAACTCTATATTCAATTTCATTTATGTTTATAACTTTTAAGCAGCAGGGACATGGACATAACTAACTCCATTGAAGCATGTACAAACAATGCGATTGAATTTTTTTGCTGCAGGAAATCCATCAAAATATACTAGTGTTTTGGGAATTGCAGTCCATCCTAAATGAACTCCAGTGAACCCACATACTTCAAAAATGTATGAGACCTCAATCAAAACCTGCAAGTTCAATAAAATACGCATACCTAATGAGTTCGCAACAATTTATTACTTATTGAAGTATGGAACTATGGAAGGGGACCCTTAGCGTAACTGGTAAAGTTGTTGTCATATGACCAGGAGGTCCTAGGTTCGAGCTGAGAAAACAGCCTTTTGCGGAAATATAAGTTAAGACTGTTTAGTGCACCATGCTGCCCTTTTTTTTGAAGTATAGAACCATGGAGAAAGTCAAGAGGATAAAAAGACATATCACATTGAAGGGTGATTATTACAATTAAACTTGAAATATAAAAACTCCATGAAGAGCTAAGAATTTCTATAAAATTCAACTAATGAGAAGACGATGGAGTAGCGAGATAGCACAAAATAAGCTTAAGAGTGACCAAACAACATGATTCGGGCTTACCTCTTTAGATTGTTCCTCAAGTCAGTCCTGTTTTTTTCATTTTACATACAATAAACTAATATTATAAACTTTTAAAGTTTTCCAATAAATAAAGAGCAAAGAGCCAAAGGATTAAAACATTAGATTTTTAAATGATAACACGATCCATGACAATGTAAAATATAATACTATCAGTGTAATTTTAATTGTTATAACAAATTATATAAAACATATGTTATTATATAGATACTGTCACTACACATAGTTTAAACTAAAAAAAAGCCCAAGTATTTGACTTATTTTACGATAAATGTAATTGGAAAAATGACACTGTATAGCCACTGTAAAAATAATAGCCGAAAAAATATATAAAATTTATATATTTTTTTTGTGTATATATATATTTTGTAGGTTATAAATAAAAATTATACAAATCTTATACACTTTTTTGACGATCAAATATAAATAGTTTTTGTCGCGGGCTAAAAGTGATAATATACATCTTGACTATCCATCATCAATATCTAACCAAACAGCACATTTTCTAAAATTTCCCTCTTTAAAAAGACGCTCTCTTTAACTTTTGTCTTCTTCCACTTCTAGATCCAATACATTTTACGGCAAATGGCCAAATATATCCCTATATTTTCGAAAATGGTCTAAAAATACCCCTCGTTATACTATTGGGTTATCTATACCCATGCAGTCATACTTTGGGTTTAAATATA